GTATTTAGGTAGCGATTTCTGTGCAGAAGAATGTAGCAATGCTTTCTTCTGGGCTCACGTAAGTCATCTCACAAGCTGCCAAGAGGCAACACAGAGGTGGGGCTCCTCCCAACGCCTCCAGTTGTGGCCCCAGAGTCCAACCCCTCAGAAAGTACCACTTTGGCAGCATCAAGCCAACACTAAGTGACAGTAAAAAACCCAAGCCAGAATTGCTGAAACCCATGATTTCCTTAAGATCTACCAGACAGATGTTCAAATGCATTCAAACATATCACAAATAATACAGGTTTCTGTTGCTCAGGAAATGAGGTAACATCTATCAGGTCACACTGCCTATCTTTATGTCAATAGCACTGTCTCAAGCCTGGTTTGTAAATGCCCTATTGTCTCTTCATTTATACCATTACCGTGGATCGTGCCACAGCACATTTGTTATAAAATTCTTCAAGAACAATGATAACAAAACCAAGGCAACTACTCTCCTAAGCACTTTTTAAAAAGAGATTTCATTGAGAGATAAAGATTGAGTTCTTCCACCCCTTTCTTTATCTGAATATGAAGATGTTATACAGATGCTTGCCTTGATATGATATTGAAAGACAATTTGAGTCCACATAATTACTGTAGAACAGTGTGTGTGTATACACACACATATAATTTTTAAATATTTGTACTTACTGATTCTACCTTTCAGATGCATTTTAGCATTCTAGGGTAATCAGCTAAGTCCTAGCCATGGATGCAAAAGTAACTACTAGACAATTCCTCACTTCATGTGTTTATTATGCATACAGTATCATAGGCTAATTCTCCCAAAACAAACAAACAAAAAAATGTATTTCTGCAACAACGTTTTAGAGCACGTCCATGTGACTCAAAGCGACCCCCAGAAGAACTCCTTTGCACTTGATGGCAGGTTTATGGACATGTTGTATATGTCAGCCTACACCATTTTTAATAATAAAAAAAAGACACTATAATACTGTTTCCTTGTAACTGAGACAGAAAATCATTTGCTAAGAGTAAGAACATTTATTGGTTTTGACATAAAAATTCCATGCTGTGAGGTGGAAACGCTGTACTCCAAATACCGGAAGAAACGTAAAATCTCGAGGGCTATGCTCAGTAACTCTTGGTTTAAAACCAGACGCGACAGGTGCATTATTTAAGAGCTTGTCAGAGATGATCTTGTACAGCACACTACTCCAGGACTCATCTCCTCTTATCCCTGGGAAGGGGACTCTCATATAAATACATAGCTGCATGTCAAGCCCACAATGCCCAAACTATCTCACCACCACTGTGTGTGGTCACTGCAAAACACTAATAATAGAAAAAGTCTTCATTACTGAATGCAACTAGTTCTCCCACAGAACCCATGTAACAGCAGGTCTTTGGCTGAGCCTCTTCTGCACACATTTGCTCTGACAAATTCAAAAATCCTTCCTAGCAGCCATGTTTGATGTTCTTAAACATTACACCAAAACACTGCTGTACTCAGCATCATTTTGATGCCAAAAAGACATAGCAAACGCAATATAAACGTGAAACGGTTGCAGAGCAAGCTACTGCTCTGAATTTCCTGATTTCTGCACATGCAAAAATCTTTTACTCAGTAGTAATTTGCTCTTCATTCTTTCAGAGCATAAATCCTTGAGTGGAAGTTAGCCATGTCAGGATTGCAGTAGGGGTGATCACAAATATGCTACAACAGAAGAGACTCAAGCGTCCTAATTGTTAAAAACAAAACAAAACACTACAAACCACTAGTAACAAAAAATCAAAAGAACATACCAACAAAATAGTCTGATCAGGTTCTGTAACAATGAGCCAGAATTTCATCTGCATAAATTATGGGAGTACTGCTACACTTAGCACCCATTCATTTGCAAAAAGGATCTGACCTAGGTTTCAGAAGAGGATACTTCAGATACACATAGAACTGCAAAGCTGCATTCCTGTTTCCACTAACCTTTCAGGAATAAGAAACGTGAATGTCTGTAACCTGAATACGGAGAATGCAGGCCACATGTTTGTAGTACAAAAGCCATCCGTGACAAAACATTCCCGCACAAAATCACAGCCTGCAGCAGCAAGAGGAACTTAAGAATGAAAAAGGAAAGTGACCTAATGTGTGCTTAACTGAAAAACAGAAAGTACCACCTTGCACTTACACTGAACCCTGAAAGGGAGAAAAATCAGGATGATTACTTGTTTAACTGTGGTAATCCTGGATTAAAGCACTTAATTCCTACGCTGTTTACAAGCTGTTAATAAAAATATTAATAAGCAGATATATGGCAGGCTGCTTTAAAACTATATTAGTTCACTTTCAAAACTAGCTCTGGTACAAATTCAAGATATGCGGTGTTTTATTCTTTTCAAATGCAGGCTTTATTTTAAGAGTTTAAGGTAATTTCTTATGCTTGAAGAACACAACATTTTCTACAAATATTAGGTAGGTGTTTTTCCTTTTGCTAGTAAATGGAGTATAACCCTAGCCTTCAAAATACGTGAATGGTAAAATAAAAGTTGTCTCCTACATAACAACAGGTAAATTCCATCTCTTCAGACAAGAGTAATGACTAACAGAAAGCACCTGTACAGAATTCATCTTCACAAAGCATTAGCGTACTAAGTAGCAGAGAACCTCCATTTGGGTGAAAACTTACAACATTTTGGGGGATATCTGGAAAACTCCTCTTCCCTGTTTACTGTAAGGAATCTGAGAGCTCTGAGGGACAAGTAACAGCATTTCCCTCCACTCTTCTCCACTGACACGGATCCCAGTCACTCACAGTGCAGATAAATGACCTGATCAGCTTAAGCTTTGTTTCAGAATTTCAGAGAAACAAAAACTGGAATTTATGAAACAGCAGATAGCATGGACTGGACCTCACAGCACAACAGGATTACACCTCCAGGAGTTTGTAACATGCACATCAGTTTTAAATACAAGCTATGGGAGAAATATTTAATTCCAATATCCACTTTCCATTTCCTTTTCTCCCACTGCGACTAGCACAACTTCCTCCCTATCGAATTGCGTACAATGTTTCTTCTACTTCACTTTATTTTTCTTACCCTAATATTTCCCATTGTTCACGTTAACCTGCAGCCAACTCTGTTGAGTTCTTAACCAAAAACCTATTGTACTCAAGAGACGTCTTTGCATGGGTAGGAGGAGGTTTCATCCCTTAATGACAAAATCCAGGTGTTGTATTCCAGTACATCATCCCTCACCCACATTCTGCTGAACTCTGCAAACTTCAGCAGGCCCGGGAGCTGGAGTTGTTCTGAATTTCTTTCTCATGGAGGTATGGAATAACATACAGCTTTGTATCAGATGAGAAACTAAACAAATGGGAAGTGGCAAATTCCTAGGTGACATGGCTGAAGTCTTGGGGCCTTCAAGAGTTGATACCTCCTAGTGCTGAGAGCCACTGTAGTCAGTAAACTGAGAAATTACATATTAACTAATTTTGTTGACTGGGAAAACGTGGTGAAACAGGACACTGTCTATGAGTGACAGCATGTATCCGCACTGGCACGCCCTCTGAACATCAGTTCACCTTACAGGTAGCATTCTGCATACTTAAGTGAGATTACTGTACACAGAAGAACAAGGGAGGGAAGAAAGACTTAGAAAAATACATATTAGAAGTTACATATGTTTAATGCTTAAAAGTCTGAATGCACAAACAATAATCTACCATTATAGAAGTACTGGTGGTCAATACAATGCATTAGAACTATGTACAATGACACAGTTTAGTATCAAAATCTTTCTACAATGTAGAATATTACGAAACTGTTAATGACATCAAACACTAAGCACTTAAGACACCATTTTTTGCTACCACATTTGGAACTTCAATGAACAGTCCATTTTAACTTGCAGCATCAATCCATTTCTAGTACGAAATTAAGTAATTTTCTACTTATACAATAAGATTTATCTACACGGGTCTTTTGATTTTGATCCATAGCAGCAAAGGCACTGTACATCAGCAGATCCACAGACTTAAAAGATTTCTTTTAAAGCATTCAAAAAAAAAAAAAAAAAATGAAAAAAAAAAAAAAAATCACAGATCATAGTTTAACAGCAACAACAACAACAAAAAAAGATAACATGTCTCTGGCACAATGGCTCAGTCTACGTCCATTTTAGGGACATCCAATTGAGACTTGGATTGAACTGCTGGCAAACAAAACAAGTCCTTTTCCCAAGTGAGAATCCATTCCTTTTTATATGTCGGAATGAGTGCTCTTGTAAATCCTACCTTAGAGGTCATTGCTTTTGTAGTTTGTATATTGGTAGGCATCCATTTTTATTTCAGTGCAGTTTCCAAAGAACATATCAAATATTTTTCATAATCTCTTGTAATTGAAAAATTGCCCAAAGACACATATCCCCATTTTCAAGGAAACGTTGCAAAAGTTTCCAGAAGTTACAAAGGTGATTCTTTGAGGCAACTTATTGTACTCTCTACAATATAACAAAGAGAGGTGTTTATATTAAAAAACCTAGCTTGACACCAAAATGCTTTATGTTCATCAACAAAAAAGCATTGAGAACAAATCTGTACACAGGATGCTATATTAACATTGCAAATATATAAATTAGCACATTCTTACTTAAAGTGAATTTATTTTAGATGTGAACTGAATTTGCCATTCATCACAGGCATGTAGATTACTGGCTACAGTTTGCAATTTCCTAAGTTTCCAAGACTGTCTAAAATAGTTAAAGTTACAGCATCTTCCCACCAAATAATTATACTGTAATAACACTTAGAGGTCTTATCCAAGAACAGGACTAAAAAATATAACAAAGTTTTTTTTGTTGGTTTTTTTTCTTTCTTTCTTTTTTTTTTTTTTTTTTTTTTTTTTT